TTGTTTCTATTCTATTCACTGAACTTCTTGACACTTAGCACTGAAGGGGTTGATTCTGTATTCATAGGTTTGTAGAAGTTAGAATTAAGGTCTTTTTCTTAACTCTGTTCATGTTATAACATTTTTGCTGTGAAGAAGAGGCATGTGATCTCCGCTGAGTCAAATTCAGTTTTGAGAACTGCAAAGTAAACCAAGAATCTGTGATAATATCTTGTAGGCAGAGAAACTGCCCAATAATCTTACAAAAACCTCTGGAAGAGCATGACATTGTGAATGGATTCATGGAATTTATTTACCAAAAAAACTAAACATATACAGCCTTATTCTACATAATTAAAAAACTAATCTTTATTTCATGATGGAATAACCTTTGGATGGTAATATATTTTCCTCAAAAAGCATTTTATTCAAAAACATCTGATTTAAACAAAAAAAATCCGATTTTTTTTGATTTTTTAAAAAAAATCATTGATTTTTTATCCACCCTGCTCACTTGTCATGCTGCCTAGGCCACCATTCTTCAAGATCTAAAGTGTCCAGAGAAACCTCATCATCTGACACATTTCTGGGAGTGTTGGGTTACTGGTCCCCTGCCACATATTGAGGTTCCTCAAAGTGGCCTCTACATCAATACTGTGTCCTATAGTAGCATAGAGATTAGCTGTCTCTCCTTATAAGCTACAGTTCCTGAAGAAACCTCTGCATCTGACACATTTCTGGTAGTGTTAGATTCCTGGTTCCCCTTATGTGCTGTTGTTCCTTCCACTGGCTCCTATGTCAGTAATGTGTTCTGTAGTGACATGGAGGTCAACAGGAGTTGAAGCCCCCCATTCAAGTCTATGGTGACGCTCCTCAAACGCCTGGTAGGCATATGCGGCTCGGTTGTGAGGCGTTTGCAAAGTGTTAATACCAATAAACTTCATTGTAAGCGTATGTGGTGCTGTTTTAACGCTTGGCAAACGCCTATCAAATGTCTCAAAAATGTCATAGGGCATTTGGGTAGCACTTGAGGAGTGCTAAAAACACTTCCCAAATACCTGTCTAATACCTGTCAAATGTTATAGGGGCATTTGGCAAGTGTTAGATATTAGTCAAGTGTGAACGAGCCCTTACAGAGCTTGTCCCCTCTCCCAGACTGCACAGAAAAGGACTGATGAGATAATCCTTCTTTCACACTGCTCTGTCCTCCTGCCAGCATGTTCCTTGTTAGCATATGAAACTGCAGCACAGTCTCATCTCTGCTGTACAGTGGATTGTAAAAACCCAAAACCAAGTTAATTTCAGGTTTGCAGCTAAAAAATACACTTAACAATATATGAATAAATGCATTAGGTTGGGTCTCTTATATCTTACCCGAGTTCAACTTATTATTAAATAATGAAGTCTGTGTTTGATCTGTTACTAATACATTTTTGTGGCTTAAAGAAGAACTCTAGAAATTTGTTTTACCAAGCAGTGGGACTGTTCCCACACTGCATGGGTTAACTGTTCATTATTGTCTAGGGGATTGAAGAGTTGAGATATACTCACCTACTCCCAGTGGAAGACCAGTCCCTGTGGCTCCAGCACCCCCCCCCCCCCTCAGTCTAGCAGTCTTGTGTGGTGGACTGTCCTGACATCATCAGACCCACAGACCAGCTTTGGATCAGGAACAGTCCACCATTGCATGTGTGGATGTGTGGCAGTGCCATATTCTGGACAATCAAAGAATCGGGTGAGTATAGGCTCTTTGCTCACCCCTAGACAAAACAAGCAATGAACCTATGCAGTGCAGTCATAACCCCACTGCATGGGAAGAAAAAAACATTTTGCCTGGAGTTCTTCTTTAAACTCTGCATTTTGACCCTCATGGTTCACTCAAGTTCTTTCCTTACCACAGTGATGATACAGCCATGTCATTTAGTCTACCTCCTAGTGTCCATAGTGCACCTCTGACTGATGTTTTCTATAACACAGAAAGACCAATGCATAGATGTGAAAACAGTAGCTGTAGCAGCAGTCAATATGGAAAACCAAATCATTGTCCTAGAAGTCATTATGGTTGGACTAAGGCTTGATTCACACCAGCGGCCATACTGAAAGCATGACTGTGTGCACTGGAAGGACACTGTGCTGATCCCAGTAATTTGCATTTTCTTTCTTTTTTTGTTAACTCTTTATTGAAATGTTACATTCACACAGTGGTGTTGGGATGTGGTGGTTTCCACTGCACCCAGCTTGTATGACACAATGAACTGACATCATAGGAAACGAGGCAAATTGCCTTGTCTTTGCATTGGAACTCTTCTGGACAACACTGCCCTGAACATCCCAGTTCAAATTATGTGAATGGGCCCTAAAGAAGGTTGGTGCTACTAGAAAAGTGAGAAAAGAAAGTTATCAATGCCTTTATGTGTTAATATCTGCAATCTGAATATGTAACTGATTATAGTGTAGACTGCATGCAGGTTATGATAGAAGCTAGCTCTCTATGGGAAGGGCCTTTATGATGCCGCTCGTTTTGAGATTAGAGTTGATGAGCAATATGAAAGTAGTATATGTGGAATGATTATTATGTATCATTTTCCTGCTAAATAGGACTTGGTGAGCAGAAAGATTATGAGATGAGGTTGTTGGGGTCAAAATCATCTCCGATAGGATTGAAGGCCAAAAGGAATTGGAATAGAAAAGTGTCAGATGCTGATGGCAAAGCTGAGAACTGTACTGCATGGTGATGTATTTGTTGATTAGGCAAGACAACCTGATGATAAAGTGAATAGAAAAGCTCTTAAATGAAATATTTAAAGTGGATGTGTGTATTGTACAAGTCGCTGAATAGGAAGGAAATGTGTAACAAGTCAGATAAATTAGTGTAAAGATTGGACAGATGTGAGGGAGAGGGATGGATAATAGGTGTAGATATGGAATGAACGATGGAGGTGATGACAGGGTGATGATGAGCAAGATGAGATCTCAGATGGGTATTTGTAGGGCAATAAGTAAAGAGAGAGGTAGGAGAAGCCAAGGGCAAGTATAATTTTGGAGTATCTAATTTGGGTAAAAGCTTAGTAATAAGATAGACTCATGGGACGGTCAAAGATAATCAATCCAAGGTGAACCAAAAATTGTGACGTAAAATTTATACCGAAAAGATGATGGATGTAAGAGGAGATAGGTCCTGTCATTAGCTATATTTGCTCAAAGCACAGCTCCTACACTGCTGACTACTGCGGTCATCAAAGCTCGGTTGAATCTTCAGTTTAAATCAGCTATCCAAATGCATCAAAACAGAAGTGCAAAGACTTACACTTCATTTTCCTATAAAACAGCCACAGCTTGAGCAGACAAGCCTGTCCCCTGCCAGTAAGCAACAAAAGGACCATTGCTATTTCTGTGGGAGTAGAAGTCTCTCTGCAGAGATCTGTCTCCTGCTGTGTTAGAGCTGGAGCTTTTCAATCAGCAGGGAGCATGGGCTTTTCTGATTGCAGAGCTATAACTCTGGCTCAACAGGGGGTGCATATTGGACCACTGAAGAGGGCTTCCAGGCAGAGAGCAAGGGCCCTTCTCTGTGGGATTCTGGTTTTCAAGGGGATAGGCTTTTCTACTCAGGTCATGGCTGCTTTATAAGGAAAACCAAATTCTACAACTTTCTGCACTATTTTTGTTGGATGCACTTGGAATTAAAAGAGCTTAAACTGAAAGCTCAGCTGGGCGGAGAAATATGAAGCAGCCAGATTTCAATCAGACATTTCCCCATTTAATTTCCTTATGGTTAAACAGTTCCCAGTGCTTTGTAGAAGAGAAATAAGAAGGTATAACTGAAAAGAAAATAGTCTATGCTTGCATGATTACAGACAAGAAAAATGTGTTAAAATTGGAAACAGATTTGCATTGCTGGGCCCTGTAGGGCAAACCTTATTTACAGATCATTTTCTTGTTTTATAGGTTTTCAGTAACCCTACCAATAACACTAACTCTAGTACTAACACTAACACCAACCCAAGTTCTAACACCAACCCAAGTTCTAACACCAACCTAAAATTCTAACACCAACCCAAGTTCTAACACCAACCCAAGTTCTAACACCAACCCAAGTTCTAACACCAACCCAAATTCTAACACCAACCCAAATTCTAACACCAACCCAAATTCTAACACCAACCCAAGTTCTAACACCAACCTAAATTCTAACACCAACCCAAATTCTAACAGTAACTCTAATGATAGCACAAACCTTTTTTTTATGAAAAAAAGTTATGTAACCATTATGTCAGCACTGTCATAGCAATTGCAGGACTATGGTTATCAACAAAACCATGTGATTGCCATATCAGTCCTGACATCATGATGATGACTTTGTTGATAAGCAAGGCAAAACAATCAGCATCGTAATCAAATGACGTTATTTATCAACAAAGCCATTGATCAGCATGGTGATCACCTGTCCTTATTTCTCAATCCTCCATCTTCATGCCAACATGCAAACATCAGCTGTATAAGAGCAATGTGCACAGCAGGGGTCATTCAGCAAGGTCACAAAACTCTGAATTCAATGTGTACTGCATGCTTTTACATTGCATTTTCAAAGCTTTAGAGTAAAACTATGACCAGACTAAAGGGATTTAGCTATTTACATATTTATATCAAGCAGTACAAGTGATTTAAAACAAACCCTCACTGTAGCTGCATGCACAATGGAGTGACTAATTGTTAAAGTTCTGAGATAAAAACACTTTTGCTTCCCGTCATTTGATTGTTTTGTTCCCTCCTCCCAGCAGTAGCTTGGTTACCTGCCAGCTTTCCAATCTCTAATGTAAACAGAAAGCAGGTGCACAGAAGGAGGGGAGGAAACAGAGTGCTGAGACAGAGCTTGGACAAATTCACTGCTTCCTTTGTGAACTTGGAGGATGAATTGCACCACAGTACTTGCAGCTACAAAGGTCAGTGAGGGCTTGCGTTAAGGTTCACTTACTTTCAGGGGCGGACTGACAACTCATGGGGCCCCTGGGCAATAGGGGATCATGGGGCCCCTGTGTCCTTGCCCAAACTCAAAAAAGCCTATGAAAAAGGTACCAGGGGCATCTCATGGGGCACCCTACTGACCCCGGGACCTCGGGCAGTGCCCAAGTTTCCAAATGGTCAGTCTGCCCCTGCTTACTTGTTTGTTAAGAATATGCAAATACTAAATGTCCATAGCCTGGCCACAGTTTTACTTGACAGCAACCTTCAGCTCCAGGTTTGGAATGTTAAACAAAAATAATAGAAAAGTTCTGGCTGTCACATCAAACAAGCTCCTAGTAGGCTTCAGCAGATTTTCCAAAAATTTCAAGCTGACTAAAAGCTTGCAGACTCCCAGGGGTTGACTCAAACACCAAGCCCATCCCTAGTATCTATACAAAATAAATGAATAAATGTCAGCTTTAATAAAATCAAAGAAGGGGTTTGGGCTTGAGTTAAGATTCATTATTTATGACATTGTGGTAAGGTGCAGCAACACACATGCATTGCCGTGCCACAACACACTAAGCCGAGACACTTGTGTTGCAGCATACCACAATGCACTATAGTGTGTTACAATGCCTTGTCTTAAAACATTTGCGGCACGTCTGAGTTTCACACGGTTTTGGTGCATTGGCAGCCCAGCCATTTCAATGGGCTGCCTTAAAGTGGTTGTAAAACCTTACCTATATCAAGTTAATACACAGGTGAAACAAATCCTCCTACATAAGTTGTACCTATTTATTTGCAGAAATTTGCCCTGTACATCCTTGTAAAACTCAGAAATGAAAAGGATTTTTCACAGACTCATAAAGCAGAGGGTGGGGAATGGAAGTTCCACACTGTACAAGAGCTCTAAGAGCTGATTGGATGGAATGGACCCCCCCCCCTCTACTTCGCAAACAGGAACAGAGCTGAGGCTGTCAATCACAGGCTATGTGTCAGATATCCCTCCCATGTTATCTTTTCAGCTTATTTAGTCAGGAAAACTTGTCAGAAATGACTTTATGCTGATAACAGAGGAATGAAATAGCAGAGAGAGAGATGACATTTAGTGCTTTGGAGAGAGGCAAGTAAACACATTAGAAATATGTGCTTTGTTCAGATTTCATGTCTGAAGTTTACAACCACTTTAATGCAATAAATGAAATTGTGTAAGTGGGCTCTAAGGCTTTATTACCCATCAGCATGCTTGGTTCATCAACCTCCACGGAAGCAGTAATAACAGGCCAGGTTTTTTATCTCATGAGAGGTTCTCTTTAAATAATCCTGAAGGTGTCTCTTTATTTAAAACATATTTCAACTTTGCTGTCTTCCATGGATGGGCTCAGCGGAGGCAGCTATGATTTCACCCATGATTCATCCACAGATATGCATGTTCTTATATTAAGTGTTAACACCACACTGAGACAGCAGGCAGTGATACTGAGAAACAAACTTTACAAACAGAACACGTCCAGAACCATCCTATTCCTGAAGTCACAGAAATCAGAAGATTGCAGAGGAAAATATCAGCAGAGGCATTTGCATCAATTTTCCCACTTCTTACCTGCTCTAAATAAAATGCGTGTCCCGACAGTAAGCGTGCATGAAAATAGCAGCCACAGCAGGAAAGAAAGGTGGGAAGTCTCTTGTGTACACAGTAAAATGAATAACACAAAGCAACATCGTATTGAAATGCTTGGCGTCACAATTGGCCCTCAGTCAAAGCATCATATACGCAAAACTCTCTGTTTCTATGTATTGTATTCAAGAGCAAGACTCCAAAATACTTTGCAGTGTTACTATTGTGGAAGGCAGCTCTGCGTGATACTTCAACATTTTACTAGCACATAATAAAAGACCAATAATGGAGAAAAGTGACATAAAGAGAGACGCAGAGTCAGTTTAACAAAAGATTGATTAAAAAAAGAACCACATAATGTCATCATTAGTCATCATAATGATCGATTTACGGAAAGAGCAAATTGTCACAAAATATTGTTAATGAGACATTACAGCCTTAGAAGCAATTTATAAAAATGAATGTATACAAGCAAAGATATCATATCTGTGTGCCCATAGAAAGCATTATATAAAAAAATGTATAAAAAGGCATCATATCTTTGTGTCCATCAAAACAATATATAGAAATGTATATCTACAAGGACATTACATCTGTTTGCCAAAAGAAAATATAAAAATGAATGTATAAAAAGACATCAGATCTGTATGTTCATAGAAAACAATATATAAAAAAAGATGTATAGAAACACACCATATCTGAGTGTCCATAGAAAACAATATATAAAAAAGTGATAAATAGAAAGATACCATATCTGTGTGCTCATAGAAAGCAATATATAAAAATGAATGTATAAAAAGGCATCATATCTTTGTGCCTATCAAAACAATATATACAAACATGTGTCCACAAAGACATTGCATCTGTTTCCCAATGAAAATATAAAAATGAATGTATACAAAGACATCAGATCTGTATGTTCATAGAAAACACTACATAAAAAAATGTATAAAAAAGACACCATATCTGAGTGCCCATAGATAACAATATATAAAAAATGATAAATAGAAAGATACCATATCTGTGTGCTCATAGAAAGCAATTTATAAAAATGAACATCATATTTATGAGCCCTCAGCACCCATAGTGCCCATAAACCTCCAACAGTGCCACTTAGCACCCTGCAGTGCCCCCTAGCTTGCTGCAGAGGCTCCAACACCCCCATAGTTCCCTCAAACTTCAACAGTGTCACAGCCATTACAGGACCCTACAGCCTCCCACAGTGCCCCTGTAAAAAATCGCAGCCCCTTAGAGAGACCCCATCCACCACAGTTGCCCCCAGCTCCCTCCAGAAAACCTCACCCCCTACAGGGCCACTAAGGCCAGGTTCACACTATGAATCACCTATGAATCGCACAGGAATGCACACCACATTCCTGTGCAATTCACATGAGATTCAGTGAGGTCCGATTTGAGCCGAATCATTTTGAATGGGCTCAAAATTGCACCGCATCCCACCAAAGTAGTGCATGCTCTACTTTTGGAAACATGCTGCAACTGGATCACATGGTACTTTTGTACCATGAAATCCGATACAGGCAAATGCAGTGTGTTAGTGACCAGCGTTTGGAGCAGGGGCGGGCTGACAACTCATGGGGCCCACGGGCAATAGGGGATCATGGGGCCCCTGTGTCCTTGCCCAAACCCAAAAAAGCCTAAGAAAAAGGTACCAGGGGCATCTCATGGGGCCCCCTACTGACCTCGGGCCCTCGGGCAGTGCTCGAGTTTCCAAATGGTCAGTCCACCCCTGGTTTGGAGTGTCATTGACGTTGCACTGACACCCATTGCAGACATCAAGAGTTTTGAATGGGGTGCTGGAAGCCTGCATGGATCGTGGGTTTCCCACACCATGTTCTAGCCTGAACCGGGGTTTGGTCTGCTGCAAAATCTCCTAATTCCCTCCAAAACCCCATCCCTCCACAGTGACACCCAGCTCCATCCAGGACCTTGTAGCATTTCAAACCATTTTTTATATTCCTAAACTATTCTTGTGTGCGCAAACACACACACACATATACATCTTTTTTTTTTTTCTTATATTTGGACATAGGTTTCAGAGGAAATTACCAAGCCCTGATCTCAATAGGGTTGAGAACCACTGACCTAAGTAACTCCAGCTACCAGTTTCAACCTGCTTTCCCAAAAATAAATTTTACTTCCCCACCACTGTAAAACAAGACAGTGACCACCCTGCTGTTGGCTGAGTTACCAGTATTTCAGCAGATGTCTCTGTGTAGAGTTATAGTGGCAGGAGAGGGGAGCTACAGTATGCAGTGTGAAGATGCAGGCCTCTGGCACACCTGGATATTAAAGATTATCCTGTAACTTCTAGCTCTGCTTGTGAGCAAAGATCAACTTCGACAGAGGAAGAACTGGCAAGTATTATGAATGTACTTCAATATGCTGTTAATTTTCTTTTTTAGGTCAGGACATTAGACTTTTCAAAGCTAAACCCCAGGCAAACAACACAATTCTTCAAATACATATGGGAAAGCTGTTTTACCTGCCAGAGGATTTGAATTTCTGTCCATCCAGTCCTGGCATTAACACAGCTTGGTTACACAGTAGATGCCTGTCTAGCAGGGAAGGACACCTAATCTTCCTCTGTAGTGTCACTTTCATCTACCAGTCTTCTCTCCATCCCCATCCATAGTTTATGGCTCAGCAATGCAAGTAGAAGTAGCACATTGATGAGCTTTTTTCTATGTTATTCTGCTCCAATCAGCATGCTTCTTTTACTGCAGCAAACCTGATTGGCAGCTTCTTCTTTCCCTTCACTACGCTCTGCTGTACAGACTTACAGCAGACTGTAATAGGTTGATATTAAAGCAGACCTTCATTGTAAATTTCACGTCATGTTTCCTTGGCTCCTCTCCTTTCCCCTCCCACACTTACAGTCAGACATTATTCTCTTTTGTTTTTACCAATTTATTTGTGTTGCAAATCAGCACTTCTGCATTTGTAGCCTAGGCAAGAATTACATTTGTGCCACAGGGCTTCAGGTCCTGCATGATCCCTGCAGCACAGCTATGAATGTGCTGGTGTCCCCAACCATCTGCCCTTGTGTGGGAAGTCAAGATGGCTATCATGGAAGTCCCATACCTTCCCCATCTTTGTGCATGCATGGATAATCATCTGCGCATGTGCAGATGCACCGAAGGGCTCTGCCAGGACCTGAAGGCCAGGGAAAGCCCTTCAGCGCACCTGCTCATGCGCAATACTAAAAATGCCGGGGGCTGAGCCAGTACCGAGTGGGACAGAAGTTCCATTTTAAATCAAATTCAGGTATTTAATCTGTTTTCATATAAAACAAAACACAGGTATTAATTAGGAATGAGCTTGGGTTTGGACCAAAACAAGTTTAGTCTGAACCTGGGAGGCAGCTGTCAGTGTAAAGCCAATGAGCTGTGGCCTGGTCAGTGATGTCACAAGCATCCTCGCCATTTTCGTGTGTACAGCTGCAAGGAGGAGAATCCCTCATCTGTCAATGGCCTGGCACATTCCGTGTTCAGACCAGGGGTGGACTGACAACTCATGGGGCCCCTGGGCAATAGGGGATCATGGGGCCCGTGTCCTTGCCCAAACTCAAAAAAGCCTATGAAAAAGGTACCAGGGGCATCTCATGGGGCCCCCTACTGACCCCGGGCCCTCGGGCAGTGCCTGAGTTTCCAAATGGTCCGTCCACCCCTGGTTCAGACCCAACCGGACTCAGACTGAACCCAAGCTCAGTCCTATTAATGGTGTACTAATCATTACAAAATTGCATTCATTTCTGTCTATCTGCCTGGAGTTCAGCTTTAAGCAGCAGAAATCTAAACTGTGAAGATATGACATACCAAATAACATTCGATGAATAGTTTCCATTTTCTGTATTTAGGAATTTGAGTTTATTAGATGAAATTTCTCCGGTACAGCTACCAGCGAAGGGCAATCACCATATGTCAGTGACAGATCTGTGAGAGTAATATTACATGACATATATAGTTCTGCGAACTAAGCATACCCTTTAAGCGGGGTGCTGGGAATTGCACTACATTTACCGGATTTATGTGAAACCTGAGAGAGAAAATGTTTCATCTGGCTGACAGGATGGTGCTCACAGGCAGATAAGGTCATGCCAAATATGGGTTACTGAGGAACATACAGAAGCTGAAGATGAAGCTAAAATTCAAGTGCAGACCCAGCGGGGCTAATGTGTGACAAATGAAGCAAATAAATGGGAACAAAACTGCAGCTGTAACTGATAACCAGATTTCTTCTCTAATCTGAATGATGATTGATTGCTATAGACAAGAGCTTCACATCAATTGTACAGCTTTCATTAATTAGCTCTAGAATTTAATAAATATATGATATATAAAAATTGAAAACATAATGTAAGAGAGGGTTGCTGCCTTTTCATTTTACCCATCCATGGACATATGGAGCTAGAGGTTGGCATAAAAAAATGGGAGGTTAAAAGCAGAGGGAGTCTTGAGATGTAGTGGAGAGAGTTTAGATGGAGAGCCAGGAAGGATGCTGAACTCTTTGGAGGGACACACATGATGAGGCCTATGGCCTGGAAGAGACCGAGACCATTAGTTTGGAACAGTATGGAGCACAGCAGCCTTCTCCCTGTCACTACTCTTGGATGGGTCCAGTTACAAAATGTACATTCTTTTTCCATGATTATAGACTCTCTCCATATGTTTCGGACTTATATAACAACAGATATGGAACAGGACATTATTGCTCTGAGGTTATGTCATGCTTTGCTATTATGAAGAATTCTGCACAGTAAAAAAGCTGAAAAAAAAGCCACTTTGCTTCTATTCAATGATGAGTGTGATTGGTTGCAATCAGAATGGGCACAGTCATCTATAGGCTTCAGGCAATCAGACACATTATAATCCCATGATGACCCTCTGACACTCAGAACCAGTCTATACCTGGGAAATCCTGTGAGGAGCCAGTTTAGAAATAAGAGCGGTTGTGATTAGTTCTATGGGTCAGTAAAAGTAGTGACCAGGTAGGTTCAATGGGGCACTGGTGAAAACATATGGTCACCTGTATTGCACTAGACCCAACTGTAGCCCTGACTGTATGTTAATTTCATTTGGACCAATATAGTAAAAGAGGCTTCTGTGTCAAAATGTGAAGCACTTACATTTAGGCGTAAGGTTAGCAAAGAGAACCGATGAGTGATTGTACTAGAAATCGATGGGATATGGTGGTGTTTTGGCACATCATCCCTAAAAAGCTGGTAAGTGAGAGGCCCTTGTGGCTCCAGGAAAGCCACACTGCTCTAAAGGTAGTCAAACACAGATGCAGGCTGAATGAGAAAAAAAATCTGTAGATTCTCCATCTACATTGAACAGTGTTGATAGAGGAATCGCCCCTGCCGGCTATTGTATTGAAGCAGCTACAGCACCTGCCCCATTTCCATTTTTGCCTAAGCGAGAATGACGTGTCCCTGCTCTTTGTTCCTCATGGGATATGCACATCATAATGTATATGCTAGGAGGTTTCAGAGCTTCTACACAATGCTGGATGAGGATTGGCAGCGGAGGAGGGCAGACCTGGTCTACATCATCAGGGGGCTTGAACCTGGATGAGAAAGCTGGCTCCAATGACGTCAGAAAAAAATATTGTGGTGCTAGACCCAGCTTGCAGCAGCATATGATTTCAGGACAATGCAGCATTCACTGGGCATGTATGTGAATTGAGAGTAACCCAGTGAATGAGGTAAAAGGAGATAAAAAAATATTACAGGGGAAGGCGGGGGGCACAAAGTTCCACTTCAACTCTACCACACTCTAACCCAAACTAGGAACAAGAGAAGTGATTTCAGCTATATTAAGTCCAAATTAGGCTAAAATTAACTCCAGAGTATTCCGCCAAAATGTCAGCAAGATGAAAACTTCTAATTTCCCTCATACCTAGTACAGAGGTGCTTGCTTTGGCAAAATGCATTGAAGTAATTCAGAAGTTGATTTTACCAAAGGCAAAATATATATTTTTTTGGCAAAGTCCGTTTCACCTAAATCACTTATCTTTTCAAAAGTAAAAAAAAATAAAGACAATTGGCTGGAGTTAGGCTTTAAAATAAAAAAACATCTTGGACTGAATGGCCTCTGCAATAACAGCTGTTTGTCTGCCAGGATAATTAGATGACTATTAACATCTGATACAAGACATATTGTCATTTCTGCAATTTCTACGAAGGCATCTTTAACATAAATTTAAACTACAAGCAATTACTGAGCCCAGATTTCTGTTTATGAAGAATAACATTTCTGTTGACTCATACATTCCTGGGATAGTTCTTGTAAACCAGATGTGCCTTAGAAGATAAAGCTTAGTAATTAGATGTACTGGAAGGGGACCATTGCTAAGCAGTGTTTCCCCATGCATATGCTTCAGCAATTTATTTAAGCAGGAGGGTTTTCCTCATGGCCTTGTAGCGGTTCATAGAAGGGTTCCAAATACAAAGTGGTCATAAATAAAATATCAGCATTGTACATTATTAAGGTGTGGTCAGACCTATTGCTTGTAGTATGGGGAACTGCATTTTAAGCTGAACTGTGAATTCTACACAGAAAATTAGAAATCTTAGAAGGTTGATAAGAGTACCATATCCTTAGAATTTCTCCATTGTATTACACATCGTATTGCTAGTGATGTTTAATACACTAGAGAAAGTTAGTCTATGGATTTATTCTATGTAGTCTTGTCATTGTATATTGTTCTTTCGACTCTAAATGTTCCTAAAATGAACTAAAGCCCTCTATCATCTACAGCGAAGGAAGCTGCCAT